TGATGCGAAAACATCAAACCTCCCCCGAGACTTACTTGTTTAAGTCTAACAAGTCAGCAAATTATGTTATTACAAGATTGTACGCGGTTCTTGCCACTGGGTGTTGAAATTATTGTCCTCGGGAATGACATCACATTTTTCAGAACGACAAAAACGTCGGAGATTGTTTAATATTTAGTAACATTCGACACTAAATAAATTTCCGTTCGATCATTTTATGTTACGTTATCTGTAAAAAAGTTGAAAATACCTAATCGTGATGAAAATTATAAACATCAAAAACTATAGGTATTGGAACAAAGTTTGACCCGATCTTAAGATTTTTAAATTATGTAATTGTAAAGTCTTGATATGAAAGGGTTATTCTAAACGTTTGTACATTAAATGCCTATAAAAGTGAATGAAGCTTTTGAATTGTATGCGTACTTTATAGTCACTTTCGGAGATTTAAACATCAAGTTGACATTTTATATTGGAATGCCTAATGTTTTTAATTCGGCATTAATCATTTAATAGAATTAAAAATAAACTAGCTTCTAAGTACTAAAGCGAATTAGGAACATGCTCGATTATTATTATTACTGTATAAGGAAAGGTGGGTAGAAAAGATGGTTCGGTTGGAAACGACCCTGTGATCATACCTCATCTAATTGCAATCATTATCAGGCATTGTTAAGAAAATTCTAACAGCGCTTCATAGTTTGGTGATGTCACGCAGTAAAGCTCGTCCGTTTGGAAATTCTGCTTTCAAAGGCAAATTCTATACATCGAGATACAAACCATAACAAATCGCGCTAAGCTGCAATAATGAGGTTGTAAATCGTCCACCACAATTCACAGCTCCCTACTGTTCCCTTGCAAAGCGCGACGATTGTCTTAAAGGAACCACTGAGCGCTCCTAACGAGGCACTAACTGATTTACAACGTTCCTAGAGCGTCGTATGGGGTCCGTCACCACGAATAGTGTTTTATTGTTTTACAGCCGCCATATAACGTGGAAGATGAGCCAGCAATAAAGCCATCGTCCGCGCCACAATGCATTTTCGGACAAAAAGCGCAACGCGGTCTATAGATTGGGCACGCTCGGGTTTATTTCGAACGCCTCGAAGCCGTGATGAATGTGCGGAAGTCGAATACAACTTCATAATAACGATAAACACCGGTCCCCCATTTAAATATGTTTCGCAACATTAGCGCGGCCATTTTCGTAAGCTGCGCGCGATTCGATTGTGCGCGCGGATTAGCTAGATGCGTTTGACAAACTTATTCGATTGTTCATGATTAATCGCCTCAATCCAAATATTTAACGAAACCACGGAAAGGTGTTGCAATTTCTTCTATGTACAAAGGTATATAGCTTTTAACGGTCGATATAGATTTTTATATTATTTATCGACACGTACTTGTTTGACTCGAGACTTTGTTCAGTGGTTGGTAAAGAATACTTTGGACATATAGGTATCTCATTTAATTTTTGGTAGATATTCTAAATCGTAAATAAAAGAAATAAATAAATGAACACAAATACAAAGTCTTATGACAAAATATTCAGTATGATGTACAACAAACAGTGTTAATTAAAAGAATCACCGCAGCTGGTCCACTTTTTATGGATCTCATTTACAGCGTTTGCACATTGAGAGGAGCAACAATGTATCTGTAACACAGATGTCATGCGCAGATTATTAATAATGCTAACGCCGACGTTTACCACAATAACCGATATTGCTATAACAAACACGTCTGTATGATAAATGATAATATTTTATTGCGATCGCCCTCGATATGTGACGTTCGTGTCTTCGACTTTGCAAACATTGTTTTTTTGGAAATCCGAGCGAAATGCGACCTTATCGCGTATGAATAAGGATGGAATTCGGGAGGGTGCGCTGGAAAGCCGTTACAAAAGCTTGTGGGGTAGATGTGCATTGATAGTGCTCAATCGCACGGAGCAAATTGTCGATATTGGGTGCAGTCATTAGCGGCGCATTTTTGTGCCGAAGTTTGCGGCGCTTTTCAAAACTATTCGAGTGAACACGTCTCTGTTAAGACCTGCAATGGACGTTCGGTTTACATTCATTTTTTAATCGTCCCGAGGGGATTACTTAAGGCTTTTTAGAAACCGACCTTTAGGTTTTTTCATTTTGTAAAATCGCACTTTGTCTTGTCCTTAGAGAAAAGTTTTTCAGTAATAAAAACCGTCTTAGTCAAGTACAACAAAACATTAGCATCTAACTGCATTTTAATAAAAATAATAAATTTAACAATCTAAAATAAATTGAAAAAATTTTCGACTCGGGCAGGACTTGAACCGGCATCGTCAGCGTTCCGTGCTGTTGCTCTGCCGATTCAAGTCCTGCCCGAGTCTAAAATTTTTTCAATCTATTTTCGATTTTTAAATTATATAGTGCCTTCATGTGCAAATGTAAAAAATAATAGTTTTCAAAAATAATAAATTTGAAAACTTTTGTATTTTTCACATGATGGCACTATATTATTTAAAAATCTAAAATGAATTTAAAAAAAAAACTCGATAGCTAAATTGGTTATAGCAAACGCACGGAACGCTGACGATGCCGGTTCAAGTCCTGTCCTGAGTCATATTTTTTTTCAATTAATTACGCTTTTTAAATAATAAAAAATTCAATTCTAATTTAAGTACAGCGTAAGCTATTATTATACAAATATATAAAAACAGGTCTATACAAGAAATGTTATTTCAGTGTGTATAGAAAAACAGGGCCACCCCGAGGCCATTCCTAATCTTAATAAAACAGGGGATAATCTTCAGACAGTTTTGAAAACAGGCGGCGAGTCAAAGGCTCGCGGAGAGGAGATAAACTATTGATTTGACGTTATCTATGACAACATAACTATTCAAAATAATTATAAAAATTTAAAACTGGAAAGAATTATGGAAATGATTTTTCTGCTGTAGCTTCTCATTTACACATTTTGCTAAAATCCGTGTTTGTCATGATCCTCCATGCTTCACTGTTCTCGGGTTATTTAACTCGTCCTAAATATCCGTATTTACTCGTCGTTTTCTTGTTTAGTCCATCCGGCCCAAAAAAATGTTTTTAAAGCTTATGTCATGACCAATTTTTATGCCTTTAATTTACTATGATAAGGAAAACTTGCATTGTTTTAAAAAATTAAGAAAATATATGTTTTAAATTAAAAATCGCGCGCTTGGACCGGCGACTTGAACCGGCATCTACAGCATTCCGTGATGTTGCTCTCTGTCGTAATTTTTTCAATTTATAATTCATATTGTGCCATCATGTGCAAAAATATTAAAGTTGTCAAAATATGTTTTGTCAGTAAAAATCACATTGATACCACCACTAAGAACTTAACGCTAACCCATAAGAGGATTGTCTGTAGATGAAAATAGTAGAGACATTCTCGAGCGCTCTCTAAGTCGAAGCTACCGACTTACGCGACCCAATTTGGAGTACAAAAAACTGAACCCATCGATTTAGCTAAAACAGCAATTATCTGATATAGATAGGTAAACAGCGCTGGCGCCGGTCGTGCTTCAAGTCGAGCCACCCACGAGGTGCTTTAAAAAATAGTCGCATTTTTAGCGTATTTATAAAGAAGTAAATAATGAATCAGCTTAGCGGCAATGATTATTAGTCTGAACTACTATTGCCTATTGTGTGATCTCTCGTGTACATTCGATGTGAGGCCCCTAGAGGCATAGTAGCCTAACTGCAATTTTATGACTTGACTTATTTATATTTTTATAGTCTAAAACTGTTAATCCACAGCATAATGACCGAAAATTCTTAACTTATGTCTTACACAAATAATAGTATAAATTCACTTTCGTCTAAGTTAATTGCGCATTTTCTCATATTTAATCATGATTTTTGCTATTAGGCCACTAAGCTTCTAGAGGCCTCATATGATCGTGAAAAATGATCGTGGATTACAACGAAATTATGGTATAGAATATAGATAATAATTTTTATAGATTATCGTCTGCAGTGCTTATAGGAATATAAATGTACGATAGCTGAATTAAAGTTCTCTTAACGATATCATTTTGAAAGATCTCACGATATTTATACTCGGCACTAAGAACCTATGACACAAGACAACGTTTGCAGCCGCAGAGCCTCTTTGGGTGGCTCTAAGTGCCAATAAATCAGACGATAGTTAAACACGTGTTCGATCAGTGTTTGGGAGTTTGTCTGTCATCGAGTTTACTTGTTTTTGGGTTTGTAGAGAATAAAGGTAATTTTATTGAATAAATCACACGGAATCCGGAATTCCGGAAACACTAAAGTAGTTTGAATCAACTAAAGTACTTTGATCTGACTAAAATCCTGCTATTTTCGCTGTTGGTAGTTTCAATAATCAATTTTAAAACGAAATGAGCGTCAAGATCTGGTTATGCTAGGAAATAAGCAGTGGGCCCGAACAAAGCTAGGATTTATTTTAATAACACGTTTTGTATGCGATTGTGAACATCGAAGCGTTTAATTCTGAGACAATTAGTCTCTGAGTTATAACACATGAGGACCGTGTGTGATCTTTCTTAAGGAACCGTCGATTCCTTTGTCGTTTCCTCCACCTCATTAACACCTTGGAGATTCAAGAAAAAATAATTGATGATTAGAAATATTTTCAGTCGGGAGGTCTGGCTTCAAAGAGACGCGGTGCCGTTTAGTTTTGACAAATCGCTTTAGATCTACACGTGTTAATCACTTAACATTCTTCTCGACATAGCCCGGTTGATATGTAGCTGTCAAAAATGTCTATATTTATAAGCAGAGAGGTCATTCTCGAAGTTTAATAAGCGAAGTTAACGACAGCGTTCATAGCGTACATCTATTATAAAACAGCCATACATATCGACAAAGTTATCACTTTCTTTAGCGAAGGATTTAACTATCGCGAACCGCGAGATACCTAATTGAATATTCAACAGGTTTGATGACAGCTGACGCAAAACGTCAAGAGCCGATGTAATGAAGTGCTCGAAAGCGATGTGGGTGTCCCGTTTGAGTCGTTCGGGACCAATTAGGGACGGTTTGAGACACGCCGACGGATTAGCGCGTAGGCGCAAGTGAGAGCGATTAGCAAAATTACTCCTAATACATACCTACTATGAAAATTTTCACCGAAAAAAGAGCACAACACCTAATAAACATTTTACTAACGAAATTTGAGGTAGGCGAGCTATGCTTTGACTAATTAAAATTTAATTTTGTAAATAAAAAAAGATATCGATCTCTACGGAGGCACCTAACATAGACACTACAGACTAAAGCTAAGAATAAAGTTTATAATTTAATTAAAAATCTTTGTTTATTCCGCCGAGCGTGGCTGACTTGGACCACTGCCTGAGCGCGGATTATTGAATAAGAACTAAGGACAGTTTGCGACAACATTTTCGAGTCAAAGTGACCGTCCGAGAGTAATCGACCACAATATTGTTTCAAACACAAAGGAACTTACGCTGGGATGCTCGCAAGTCGCAACCACCAAATAATTGCAAAACACCTAGTTTGAGGACGCTTCAAGGAGTTCAAGGCTTCCTTATAGTGACTTATCGTGACTAAGATGTTGAAAGTAATCATCGCAATGTCACATTTGAAATTGTCAAAGTTAATGAGCAAAATCATTGAGAATATCGATACACTTTATTATTTTTCACATGTCATAACACTCGATGGCACTATCTTACTTAACAATTTACAATAGTCACGGAACATTGAAGGTCCCAGATTCGTATCCTGCTAGTGTCAATGTAATATCTAAAACTGCCATATAAAGCATATCTACCTTTACGTTTAGCGCAACGTACAACATCAATAGAAGGCACAGCGAGATCATGAAATATTTTCGCCTCTCCTTCTATTGTACAGAATTTCACAACAAATTGGTGTCAAATATTGAAGTGTCGCCTAAAGTGGATACGGGGTGTAGTAATAATAATAATTGGCCCCATCGTTATAAACGGGACCAGCTGAGGAGGTGTTGTGAAGTTGTTAGCGATCTTCTAATAGCCGACTCCTTGCAGATGAGGAAAACATTATTACAAAATGTCTACAGATTTCAAAAAAATGTCTTTCTTTCATTTCCTTGTTGTGTTAAATTTTTGCTGGAATCAATGCAAACCGGTACATTTATGTGTAAATTTAGATACTAATTGCAAATATGGTTTAATTAAATTGTGCGCATAATTATTATTATTTCAATAGATCTTAAATATGTATATATACATTTTAAATTTTAATAATTAATTATAATATGTTTTTTATCGTTAGCGTATAACACAACGTAAGTTTGATATAATAAGAGGTAGAGGCCAACGTGTTGACGCAATTATAGTAAGGGAATATTTTATACAACATTGTGGTGAAAATAAAGTATTTTTTGTTTGTTTGAAACTGCTTAATAAGATGCAAAAAATCGTTCAATTTGTGAGATAAAGTTTAAAGGTCGTATATCAGTTGTCTATTACAAAAGCGGCATTACAAAGACCTGCTTAATAATAAAGTATTGTATCAATTAGGAGGAATCTGTCACAACTAATTCGGAACATGTGTGGGCAAGCGTGTGTCGTCATGTGTTAACACTTTAATTTCGACCGTGCGGAACCGTGTTTTGAAAAGGGCGCAAAAAGTTACAGGACCTCCTACGAAACATAGATACTAAAATTGTTTCTTGTGATAAACTAAACGAGGAATTGTATTGGTCTTATTAGGGGTGATGCGGGCTAAATTAAGTTTTTTATCTCATGTAGATTTGTTGAATACACTATGAACCAGAAGCGCGGGAGACTGGGAACTCCCCTTTCTGGCTCATCACATTTAGAAGCTCTGCATCCCCGTCGTTCGAATACAAATTGCGAATCCGATAAGCGTATCCCACAGCCACGACAATCCTACCGATTGGACACGCCACTCCCGCCTGATAGAGCCTTAATTATCTCGTCGCTGTAAATATTTCATTCGGATTTATATAATCGTGAGGCACTGAGCGGCGGAACTGACGGCATTACGTTAAGGCTGTGGCGAAATAGCTTTTCAGCTGTACGATTCAGTAGCGGGCTAAGACCGTAGCATTACTCATTATAATATATAGATAGATTTAAAGGAGAATTCTCCATTTATCCCTCTTATAATGAACTTGAAAAAAAATTACGTTAGTATTACCAACAGACTTAAAACACTCCTATAATATGTTTCTGTGAATTAAAATGTTAGCAATTACATACATTTTTGACTAGAAAGAGTATATACTAATAAAACTATTATATGGGTAATTGATAACAAGATTAATCGTTAAATACTAGGACCACTCACTAAGTGAACTCAACGTAAAAGCCTAAATAGCCGACGAGCGGAGCCTTAAACGAAATCGTGTGTGTAAAATCAACAGCAATTCGCTTGCATAATAACTGGCAACTTCTGCGTTAGTTTATACAAAATCCAAATTACTAACCTCCTAAGGGCTCGGCTCAGATAACGGCCGAAGCTTGAATATTTTGGTTTTTAATAAGTTTAATAGTAGGACGGCGGGCTACCGTGTTATTACGATTGTGCTCTGCGGTTCGTAAGGTGTGAAGGAAAATGCGCGGGAACGCCTTCTATTATTGTTGCGCCCAAGCTTATTAGTGCGGATGACGCGATATTTCCCACAAAGAGTAACAATTCTTGCAGATACACTTCTAATGAACAAGAATTAAAGAATATAGTTAGAAAGGTAAATTAATTACTAACAAAGAACTGCCACTGTGATTTAGTTAGCTTATAACGCTGACATGTCAAGAATACTGAAGTCTAGCGATTTAGAGCAACGAAGAATGATGGGTCTCACGTCGTGGATCGTCATGAGTCTGCTTTACAAGTTAAATTTCGCCAAATAGGTAAGGCTAAGCACGATCCTAGTGCTAATTCGTTTCAGACCAGACGCAGCTGCTGCCCCCCGCCACGGACGCTCCGAATCTTTGACAGTAGGCGTCAATATCGGCATATCAAAGAGTCGCATCTGTATCGGATTCATCGCGCGCATTGTACTCGCATCATTACAGCGCCACGCCCTCTCTCGGCCTGTAATAAACATATCAACTTCACACGGACCCCGTGCACACAATGCCGCGCAAAACAAAGCCTTTTGTACGCTAATAAGTCCTAAATTATCGGCTGCCGTTTGATAACTCGCCTTTTTACCGAAGACTCCTTTTGTCGGTTCTGCGCCTTTGTTCTCTTATTGGTCAATTTGAGGACTGTAACAATATAAAGGAAAGTCATCGGCATTGTTACTGCCGCGATCAAAATTATAAGATATTGAATATTATTGTTATAACGAAATCATTGAATTACAGTTAGGTATATAATACACGCCTTTGATACGCCATAAGAAATACTCGTCCATAAAATTAATTACGGTCTAATTGGCAAGCGCATAGTCAAAGCCAACTTCGAATGTGTTGGCTAAAAAATCAAATCGGCTAAGCGCTGTCCCTTAGATTTCGTCACGAAGTAACGTTTAAAGCAAAAACCCAGAGTAAACCAATATCAATTACTATTTGAGCAAAAGGATTTGCAGAGAAAGCGAAAACATCGATGACAAATACAAAAGACGTTATTAAAGGACATAATGACGATGTCAACAGCGCTCGGCCCACCCACAACACTAATTATTGCAAAGACAGATGTCAAAGAAAGTGAACGCGCTGAAAAAATCCTCGACAACTTCAAAAATGAGCGCCGACGGATTACTGTAACTCGAGATGTTGGTGGGCTAAATTGCACCTTAGCGACGAAGAAATAGCTTCGTAAATCCAGTATTCGAACATTTGGACCGTAGTTAAGCTTAATTTGGAACCTAGTCTGTCTTATTGTAGAGCTAAAAAGGTTGAAAATATTCTTCCAAGTGTTAAAATAACTTTGTAAGGTTGTCAATAGACAATGCGACCGCGTTGACAAAGCTGATAGTTTATTCATGGTGGATTATCTCCGGGATTTATTCGTTCTGCGATCGTGAAAAGGACATCGACAACATCCCGCACCGGGCAATAATCTCTCTATTTGTGCTCCTCTGATGGACTTTCATGGATGATCTCGTTTCGCCAATACTCGCTCATTGTCATCGGCCAAATGAACTACGCCGTTTTAGGCGCTTTCAGCATTCAATGAGTATTATGGTAAATAAGCACTCGAGTTTTTAGACCACCGTCGAAGACTGTTGTTGTCCAATGTCGTTGCAATCCGTGTGTATTGTTTAAATCTGTCTTTTTTGATTCAAAATTTTCTCTTCAATTGCGTTTAAAACGAAATTTTGATTTGTGTTTCGTTAATTCAAGTTAGAGTACCTATGATAATTTTTTTAATAAATTAAAAATAACTCAAATTAACTCAAATCTTTCTCTTCTAATATTTCGTTGTATGTAAGAAACCACTTCTGTAATTAAAAAATTGTCACATCGCAATATCGCGTATACTATGTTCTAAATAAACGAGCCCATTGTATCACCGGCTTTAATTTCGATAGACTTATTTTATACGTCGATTATTCATTCCACCGCTAATGTGTGGGTACGTTTGTCGCGGAAGTCAAAATCTTACTCACCCTATTATCTTTCTATGATCACTCAAAAGTGAGCTTTAACTCCAGTCCCCAAGTGTGGGTTTCGTAGTAGGAATTTAAGCTTAGGGTGTCCCATTATAGGTTTTGAATAGGATCGTCGAGCGTAAGAAATTAGCGACATTGATGTCTCATTGTCGAGTGATGTGTGACTCGGGTGACACGCACTGTACCAAATGTGCCCGCAAATAAATGTCCTCAATGCACTGCATTTGACAATGTTGACTGTAATCGCGTATGTTATTGTATTTATTCAAACTAAAATTGTTACTGCCTTACAATTATAACTAACGGAACGGCACATAAAAAATAGATATGAAAATATATATTTATAGAATATCTGAGAAAAAAACGGTTTCCGATATGTACAGTCCAAACACACAAAGTCCCAGAGCAAACATTTTTTGAGGAAACTAAAGAGAATTATTAATGGAATATTTTTGGCAGTTTAATAGTAATCACGGTACCTACCTATTAAACATTACCGCTTACTCGACATGTCTAATATAACATTATTTTTAGGGAACTCAATTAATTTTCAAATTATCCTTAAACATTTTGTAAGTGCCCAAGATCAGAAATCGGATTCGGTCGGCGGTGATAAGTAAACATGTGTGCAAACATAATTCAATATATGCACGTCGCTCTAGTAACAGAACTGAGGGTCCAATTACAATAGGGCTAATTTCGGTGGCATATACGACGAGCGGACGCGGTTTAAATAAACCATTAATCGTTTTGGCGGAACGTATGAAATGCAGTCCCATTTAACACACAACAGTACCGCACCTAGTTTCTATAAATTTAGTAACCATCGTTTTTAATAACTTTCAAGTATCAATGGTATATAAAATAAACCCTTTGTTATAGATGTTTGGCGTAAAGAAATGTACCACCGTAATCCAACCGTGATAAATGCACACTGTCTATACGATCATTCACGTGCTTGACCCAAGTTTATTGACCCATGTTCTTTTTTCAGTGTGTAGAAACTATACAATTTGAATTCTACAATCGTATCATTTCTAGAACCAACGGTTTGATGGTTCTATCCCTCCACACATAACAAAAATTATGCTAGGAGTTTTCTACTCTCCTTCCTCCATTAACTATTTTTCTTCCTTTGAAAAAGACTCTCGAAAATTTCTCTCCCTTATACTCACTCTTTATCATGGGAGACTTTAATACTTGTCTTTTGAAGAATGACTTCCGCAGTAAAAAAATTAACTCTATATACATTTTAACTTAATTTACTCCTCTCAACAACTCCTTTTTTCCAGCTTTCTCTCTTCTTGACCTTATAATAGTATCTTCTTCAACCATTCGCAAACATGGCCACTATCAGCCGACTCCTTTTCGTTCCACGACCTGTTGTTTCTCTCATTACCATTCGCCCTCCGAAGAAGAGGCATAAGATTATATTGCAGCGAAACTTTAACCCATGAATGTTAATGGCCTGAACAATGACGCTCGTTATTGTTGGGGTGATGTTTTAACACTGATACCATTGACAATAAGATAAATAGTTTTATGCTATGTAAACAAGCTTTACAAACATGCTCCTATTCGGCCTGTTAAAATTAAACACTTTCCCTCTCCCTTTAACAAAGGAGTTAAGAAGCCTCATCCATAAAAAAAATTGTGCTAAGGCTAAGTTTAAGCTTAACAACAATACCAATCAGGCGAGATATAGATCCCTCCGAAATAATGCAACAGAAGGTGTAGGACTCTCAGAGGAATATTTTTATAAATCCGTTGAGAGCGAAACACCCTAAAACCTGGAAGTTTCTCAATTCCTTGGGTATCGGCAATCGGTCTCGCTCAGTTTCAGTATCTCCCAATTTTAATCTTGACTTACTTAATCAGCACTTTACTTCTTCTCCTAAAACTTTCGATCCCTCTAAAAAAGCTGAAACTCTAAATTTTCTCTATTCGCTCCCTAAACCTGGCTATCCTCAGTTTTGCTTCTCTAATTTCACGGATGAAGACGTTAAGAGAATTGTCATGTCGGTTACTTCTATGCCTTGGGCTTGATAGCATTGTCGTCTATGATTCTTCCTATTCTTGACGTATATACCCTATCTTAACACATATCCTGAACCATTCCATACTACAGGAGAGTTTCCTCTCATCTGGAAAAAAGCCTACATTATTCCTCTCCCAAAAGTTATATTCCTACTAACTCAAAATTTTCGCCCTATTTCAATTCTACCCTTCCTTTCTATCTTGGAAAAATTAATACATCAACAGCTTTTGTCTCTTCCTCAACAAGAACTCTCTTTTCAATTCTCATCAATCAGGCTTTCGAGCTGGTCATAGCACGATTACTGCATTGCTAAGGGTAACTGATGATATCCGAATGGCTATAGATGATAGACAAGTTACAATTTTGACTCTGGTTGATTTTTCTAACGCTTTTAATACGGTTGATTTTGATGTTTTACTAGCCAATTACGCTCTCTTAACTCTCACTACAGTTCTTATTGGTTTAATAACTATCTAAGGGGGCCAGCAGTGCATTCGGGTGGGTGATACTACCTCTTCGTGGAGCACTGTTACTTCCGGTGTACCTCAGGGTGGTATATTATCTCCTCTCCTCTTTTCCATCTTTATAAATTCAATCTCCTCTCTATTCTCGTGTCGTCTCCTTTTCCGACATCTCCAAATCTACACTCACTGTTCTTTAGAAAACATCTTATGGGATCAAATTAATTAACACCGATACTCAAGTAATTGTAGATTGGGCAAATTCACACGGCCTTTTAATAAATCCGATCAAAACGCAGGCAATTATTATTGGAAGTCCCCAACAACTGTCGAAAGTAGATTGGAACAATCTACCTCTTTAGCATACATGGTACCAAGATTCCTTATAGTAAGTCGGTTAAGAATCTTGGGATCTATATTGATGCCACTCTGTCATGGATATCAGATTAACAAAGTTAGTAGAAAAGTTACGGCGTTGCAAATATGCTGCGCCGTCTACAAAACTTTTTGCCAATTCCTACAAAAATATTGCTTGCGAGTATTTTGTTATCCTTACTCGACTATGCCGATGTTTGTTATTTAGATCTAACTGAGGAACAAGTAAATAAGTTGGAGAGGCTTCAAAATTTTGCAATTAGATTTATTTATGGTCTCCGGAAATACGACCACTTCAGATTCCGTTAAACTTAATTGTTGCCTATTAGACTACACAAACACTCACATCCTCTGTCTTCTTTTCTCTTTCTCTTCGATCCTCGCACTCCTACCTATCTTAAACAAAGGTTATTTTATGGGTTCTTCCCATAACTTGACCTTCGTTCCTCTCAACCGTCTCCTTTCTTGCCTGCCCATTCATCTAATGCTTGACTCTTCTTTTTCTGTTCAGGCTGTTCGCCTATGGATAGCTGGGACCCGCATTAGGCTCTCACAAATCTTGACTCCTTCAAGACCAAAATCAAACAACTTTTCTTGAAAGTATTGTCCAGTCT